CCCCAAAACCCCAAAACCCCAAAACCCCTTCTTTTTGTTTCAATATTGAAAGACATACTTTGAAAATTCATTATCACTGCTCTATTTCTTTAAATTGCCTTTCTGGGTTTTTGCTGCCTGATCATGTATATCTGAGAATTATGTGTGTCCATTATCTCTGGAGGAACAGTACTCATAAAACCACCCGGATGCTGAATCTCTCCGCCGCTAAATTGAGCCTTAGCAGGTACTCATTCCTTGACATGAGATTTGTAATATCCAGGCTGAAAATTCCTCTGGGTTTGAGGTACTTGAGTTTTATCTAAAAATTAGGATTGATATACCCTGACTAGAAATAGAGAGATCATCATCAAATGTTCTTCGAATATGCCCTAACTTCTCTACCAACTTCTTATTACTAAGCTTAAGGTTTTTAATCCTCTTATCCTTCTTTCTGAGATGCTATGGGATAAAGGGAAATAAAACCTTTTGAAACTTTTTATGAGCAAGGAGTATCTGGTCTATACTCTTCATTTGCATGTCTTTATGTACCTCCAAGACCTCATTCTTAAACATCTCAATGTTCAGCCTGACCTTTTGTATTTCTTGGAGGTATTGCTCTCCAAGAATTTTGCAACGTTGCTTCCATTCGTGAACTTCATTCAGAGCATTTTTAATTTTCCTTTGAGATGACTTCATGGATTTCCTCCGCTTAGAACTTTTAGCACGATTACTTCTAATTCAATGATTGTCTCTATCAGCAGATTGGCACAGCCTTAGCTCATTATTAGGCTGCTCTTTAGCATCTACACTATTGTTATGAGCTTGATTTGTATGATGCAAGGGAGGTCTTTCAGAAACTTTGGTTTTGTTCGGAATCAGTAGCTTCAAACTATTCAATTCATCTTTTAATTTCAAAATTCTTAGCTGAAGTTTATTTATTCTCTTCCTCTAAGCAATGAATTCTACTACTAGAATTTTGCCGTTTCTTGGCTTTAGTTCTCTTCCCAGGTGTATTTCTGGAAATAGATCTCTGGTGCTCCCTGATTGTGCTCTGAATCTTGTTTTCTTCGACCTCTAAAAATTTACCTTATTGATAACTTTCGAAAGAGACAACGGGCTTACTAATCTTCTCAAAAGTAGCATTCTCTTTGAGATTTTGGAGAGCCTGGCTCGTTGATAATGAGGCATCGGTTAGGTCTGAGCTGTCTTGAACTCGATCAAATGAGATAGTTTTGGCAATAACTGTCTGTCTTTCAGACATTTTGTTGAAAATTCAATTAAAATTTTGATTTAAGGGGTTTTGGGGTTTTGGGGTTTTGGGGTTTTGGGG